TGTGTGTGTGTGTGTGTTTGTGTGTGTGTGGTGTGTGTGTGTGTGTGTGTGTGTGTGTGTGTGTGTGTGTGTGTGTGTGTGTGTGTGTGTGTGTGTGTGTGTGTGTGTGTGTGTGTGTGTGTGTGTGTGCTTGTCGTGTGTGTGTGTGTGTGCTGTGTGTGTTGGTGTGGTGTGTGGTGTGTGTGTGTGGTGTGTGTGTGGTGTGGTGTGTGTGTGGTGTGTGTAGTGTGTGTGGTGTGGTGTGTTGTGTGGCTGTGATGGGTGTTGGTTGTGGTGTGTTGTAGTGTGTGTGTGTGATGTGTGTGTGTGTGTGGGTGTGTGTGTGTGTGTGGTGTGTGTGTGTGTGGTGTGTGTGTGTGTGTGTGTGTGGTGTGTGTGTGTGTGTGTGTGTGTGTGTGTGTGTGTGTTTTTTTATTGTAATACATGTGTGTGTTTCAGAAGTTCAACGCAGACTACGACCTGTCTGCCAGAGAGGGCGCGGACAGCCTGGCCTTCATCTCTCTGCTGGAGGAGCGGCTCAAGCCGGCTCTGGTGAGGAAACGCCTTCATTAGAGTCTAAAGAACTACAGATCCCACATGCCACCTCTCATAGCCTTCATTAGAGTCTAAAGAACTACAGATCCCACATGCCACCTCTCATAGAGCCTTCATTAGAGTTTAAAGAACTACAGATCCCACATGCCACCTCTCATAGAGCCTTCATTGGAGTCTAAAGAACTACAGATCCCACATGCCACCTCTCATAGCCTTCATTAGAGTCTAAAGAACTACAGATCCCACATGCCACCTCTCATAGAGCCTTCATTAGAGTTTAAAGAACTACAGATCCCACATGCCACCTCTCATAGAGCCTTCATTAGAGTCTAAAGAACTACAGATCCCACATGCCACCTCTCATAGAGCCTTCATTAGAGTCTAAAGAACTACAGATCCCACATGCACCTCTCATAGAGCCTTCATTAGAGTTTAAAGAACTACAGATCCCACATGCCACCTCTCATAGCCTTCATTAGAGTCTAAAGAACTACAGATCCCACATGCCACCTCTCATAGAGCCTTCATTAGAGTTTAAAGCAACTACAGATCCCACATGCCACCTCTCAGAGCTTCATTAGAGTCTACAAGAACTACAGATCCCACATGCCACTCTCAGAGCCTTCATTAGAGTTTAAAGAACTACAGATCCCACATGCCACCTCTCATAGAGCCTTCATTAGAGTTTAAAGAACTTACAGATCCCACATGCCACCTCTCATAGCCTTCATTAGAGTCTAAAGAACTACAGATCCCACATGCCACCTCTCATAGAGCCTTAATTAGAGTTTAAAGAACTACAGATACCACATGCCACTCTCATAGAGCCTTCATTAGAGTCTAAAGAACTACAGATCCCACATTGACCAACCTCTCATAGAGCCTTCATTAGAGTCTAAAGAACTACAGATCCCACATGCCACCTCTTCATAGCCTTCATTAGAGTCTAAAGAACTACAGATCCCACATGCCACCCTCTCATAGAGCCTTCATTAGAGTTTAAAGAACTACAGATCCCACATGCCACCCTCTCATAGAGCCTTCATTAGAGTCTAAAGAACTACAGATCCCACATGCCACCTCTCATAGAGCCTTCATTAGAGTCTAAAGAACTACAATCCCACATGCCACCTCTCATAGAGCCTTCATTAGAGTTTAAAGAACTACAGATCCCACATGCCACCTCTCATAGCCTTCATTAGAGTCTAAAGAACTACAGATCCCACATGCCACCTCTCATAGAGCCTTCATTAGAGTTTAAAGAACTACAGATCCCACATGCCACCTCTCAGAGCCTTCATTAGAGTCTAAAGAACTACAGATCCCACATGCCACCTCTCAGAGCCTTCATTAGAGTTTAAAGAACTACAGATCCCACATGCCACCCTCTCATAGAGCCTTCATTAGAGTTTAAAGAACTACAGATCCCACATGCCACCTCTCATAGAGCCTTCATTAGAGTCTAAAGAACTACAGATCCCACATGCCACCTCTCATAGAGCCTTCATTAGAGTCTAAAGAACTACAGATCCCACATGCCACCTCTCATAGAGCCTTCATTAGAGTCTAAAGAACTACAGATCCCACATGCCACCTCTCATAGAGCCTTCATTAGAGTTTAAAGAACTACAGATCCCACATGCCACCTCTCATAGAGCCTTCATTAGAGTCTAAAGAACTACAGATCCCACATGCCACCTCTCATAGAGCCTTCATTAGAGTCTAAAGAACTACAGATCCCACATGCCACCTCTCATAGAGCCTTCATTAGAGTTTAAAAGAACTACAGATCCCACATGCCACCTCTCATAGAGCCTTCATTAGAGTCTAAAGAACTACAGATCCCACATGCCACCTCTCATAGAGCCTTCATTAGAGTTTAAAGAACTACAGATCCCACATGCCACCTCTCATAGAGCCTTCATTAGAGTTTAAAGAACTACAGATCCCACATGCCACCTCTCATAGAGCCTTCATTAGAGTCTAAAGAACTACAGATCCCACATGCCAACCTCTCATAGAGCCTTCATTAGAGTCTAAAGAACTACAGATCCTACATGCCACCTCTCATAGAGCCTTCATTAGTCTAACTACAGATCCCACATGCCACCTCTCATAGAGCCTTCATTAGAGTCTAAAGAACTACAGATCCCACATGCCACCTCTCATAGAGCCTTCATTAGAGTCTAAAGAACTACAGATCCCACATGCCCACCTCTCATAGAGCCTTCATTAGAGTTTAAAGAACTACAGATCCCACATGCCACCTCTCATAGAGCCTTCATTAGAGTCTAAAGAACTACAGATCCCACATGCCACCTCTCATAGAGCCTTCATTAGAGTTTAAAGAACTACAGATCCCACATGCCACCTCTCATAGAGCCTTCATTAGAGTCTAAAGAACTACAGATCCCACATGCCACCTCTCATAGAGCCTTCATTAGAGTCTAAAGAACTACAGATCCCACATGCCACCTCTCATAGAGCCTTCATTAGAGTTTAAAGAACTACAGATCCCACATGCCACCTCTCATAGCCTTCATTAGAGTCTAAAGAACTACAGATCCCACATGCCACCTCTCATAGAGCCTTCATTAGAGTTTAAAGAACTACAGATCCCACATGCCACCTCTCAGAGCCTTCATTAGAGTCTAAAGAACTACAGATCCCACATGCCACCTCTCAGAGCCTTCATTAGAGTTTAAAGAACTACAGATCCCACATGCCACCTCTCATAGAGCCTTCATTAGAGTTTAAAGAACTACAGATCCCACATGCCACCTCTCATAGCCTTCATTAGAGTCTAAAGAACTACAGATCCCACATGCCACCTCTCATAGAGCCTTCATTAGAGTCTAAAGAACTACAGATCCCACATGCCACCTCTCATAGAGCCTTCATTAGAGTCTAAAGAACTACAGATCCCACATGCCACCTCTCATAGAGCCTTCATTAGAGTTTAAAGAACTACAGATCCCACATGCCACCTCTCATAGAGCCTTCATTAGAGTCTAAAGAACTACAGATCCCACATGCCACCTCTCATAGAGCCTTCATTAGAGTCTAAAGAACTACAGATCCCACATGCCACCTCTCATAGAGCCTTCATTAGAGTTTAAAGAACTACAGATCCCACATGCCACCTCTCATAGAGCCTTCATTAGAGTCTAAAGAACTACAGATCCCACATGCCACCTCTCATAGAGCCTTCATTAGAGTTTAAAGAACTACAGATCCCACATGCCACCTCTCAGAGAGCCTTCATTAGAGTTTAAAGAACTACAGATCCCACATGCCACCTCTCATAGAGCCTTCATTAGAGTCTAAAGAACTACAGATCCCACATGCCACCTCTCATAGAGCCTTCATTAGAGTCTAAAGAACTACAGATCCTACATGCCACCTCTCATAGAGCCTTCATTAGAGTCTAAAGAACTACAGATCCCACATGCCACCTCTCATAGAGCCTTCATTAGAGTCTAAAGAACTACAGATCCCACATGCCACCTCTCATAGAGCCTTCATTAGAGTCTAAAGAACTACAGATCCCACATGCCACCTCTCATAGAGCCTTCATTAGAGTTTAAAGAACTACAGATCCCACATGCCACCTCTCATAGAGCCTTCATTAGAGTCTAAAGAACTACAGATCCCACATGCCACCTCTCATAGAGCCTTCATTAGAGTCTAAAGAACTACAGATCCCACATGCCACCTCTCATAGAGCCTTCATTAGAGTTTAAAGAACTACAGATCCCACATGCCACCTCTCATAGCCTTCATTAGAGTCTAAAGAACTACAGATCCCACATGCCACCTCTCATAGAGCCTTCATTAGAGTTTAAAGAACTACAGATCCCACATGCCACCTCTCAGAGCCTTCATTAGAGTCTAAAGAACTACAGATCCCACATGCCACCTCTCAGAGCCTTCATTAGAGTTTAAAGAACTACAGATCCCCACATGCCACCTCTCATAGAGCCTTCATTAGAGTCTAAAGAACTACAGATCCCACATGCCACCTCTCATAGAGCCTTCATTAGAGTCTAAAGAACTACAGATCCCACATGCCACCTCTCTCAGAGCCTTCATTAGAGTTTAAAGAACTACAGATCCCACATGCCACCTCTCATAGAGCCTTCATTAGAGTTTAAAGAACTACAGATCCCACATGCCACCTCTCATAGAGCCTTCATTAGAGTTTAAAGAACTACAGATCCCACATGCCACCTCTCAGAGCCTTCATTAGAGTCTAAAGAACTACAGATCCCACATGCCACCTCTCATAGAGCCTTCATTAGAGTCTAAAGAACTACAGATCCCACATGCCACCTCTCAGAGCCTTCATTAGAGTCTAAAGAACTACAGATCCCACATGCCACCTCTCATAGAGCCTTCATTAGAGTTTAAAGAACTACAGATCCCACATGCCACCTCTCATAGAGCCTTCATTAGAGTTTAAAGAACTACAGATCCCACATGCCACCTCTCATAGAGCCTTCATTAGAGTTTAAAGAACTACAGATCCCACATGCCACCTCTCATAGAGCCTTCATTAGAGTTTAAAGAACTACAGATCCCACATGCCACCTCTCATAGAGCCTTCATTAGAGTCTAAAGAACTACAGATCCCACATGCCACCTCTCAGAGCCTTCATTAGAGTCTAAAGAACTACAGATCCCACATGCCACCTCTCATAGAGCCTTCATTAGAGTTTAAAGAACTCCAGATCCCACATGCCACCTCTCATAGAGCCTTCATTAGAGTTTAAAGAACTACAGATCCCACATGCCACCTCATAGAGCCTTCATTAGAGTCTAAAGAACTACAGATCCCACATGCCACCTCTCATAGAGCCTTCATTAGAGTCTAAAGAAACTACAGATCCCACATGCCACCTCTCATAGAGCCTTCATTAGAGTCTAAAGAACTACAGATCCCACATGCCACCTCTCATAGAGCCTTCATTAGAGTCTAAAGAACTACAGATCCCACATGCCACCTCTCATAGAGCCTTCATTAGAGTCTAAAGAACTACAGATCCCACATGCCACCTCTCTCAGAGCCTTCATTAGAGTCTAAAGAACTACAGATCCCACATGCCACCTCTCAGAGCCTTCATTAGAGTCTAAAGAACTACAGATCCCACATGCCACCTCTCATAGAGCCTTCATTAGAGTTTAAAGAACTCCAGATCCCACATGCCACCTCTCATAGAGCCTTCATTAGAGTTTAAAGAACTACAGATCCCACATGCCACCTCTCATAGAGCCTTCATTAGAGTTTAAAGAACTACAGATCCCACATGCCACCTCTCATAGAGCCTTCATTAGAGTTTAAAGAACTACAGATCCCACATGCCACCTCATAGAGCCTTCATTAGAGTCTAAAGAACTACAGATCCCACATGCCACCTCTCATAGAGCCTTCATTAGAGTCTAAAGAACTACAGATCCCACATGCCACCTCTCATAGAGCCTTCATTAGAGTCTAAAGAACTACAGATCCCACATGCCACCTCTCATAGAGCCTTCATTAGAGTTTAAAGAACTACAGATCCCACATGCCACCTCTCAGAGCCTTCATTAGAGTCTAAAGAACTACAGATCCCACATGCCACCTCTCAGAGCCTTCATTAGAGTCTAAAGAACTACAGATCCCACATGCCACCTCTCAGAGCCTTCATTAGAGTCTAAAGAACTACAGATCCCACATGCCACCTCTCATAGAGCCTTCATTAGAGTCTAAAGAACTACAGATCCCACATGCCACCTCTCATAGAGCCTTCATTAGAGTCTAAAGAACTACAGATCCCACATGCCACCTCTCAGAGCCTTCATTAGAGTTTAAAGAACTACAGATCCCACATGCCACCTCTCATAGAGCCTTCATTAGAGTTTAAAGAACTACAGATCCCACATGCCACCTCTCATAGAGCCTTCATTAGAGTCTAAAGAACTACAGATCCCACATGCCACCTCTCAGAGAGCCTTCATTAGAGTCTAAAGAACTACAGATCCCACATGCCACCTCTCATAGAGCCTTCATTAGAGTCTAAAGAACTACAGATCCCACATGCCACCTCTCATAGAGCCTTCATTAGAGTCTAAAGAACTACAGATCCCACATCTGTAGTTCCTACACAACACTTACCCTGGTCTTTGTCTCTCTGTCTCTCTGTCTCCTCTCAGATCTATAACTCCTGGGTGGACTCTAAGAACTACGTGGAGGTGACGCGGCGCTGGTACGCCGAGCACCTCCCCTTCCCTCTGAACTTCCTGCTGCCCGGACGCATGCAGCGCCAGCAGCTGGAGACCCTGAGGCTGCTGAGAGGAGAGGAGAGCCTGGAGGGGGGGGAGGAGCTGGAGAAGGAGGTGAGGGGGGGGGGGGGAGCTGGAGAAGGAGGGGAGGGGGGGGAGGAGCTGGAGAAGGAGGTGAGGGGGGGGGAGGAGCTGGAGAAGGAGGTGAGGGGGGGGAGGAGCTGGAGAAGGAGGTGAGGGGGGGAGGAGCTGGAGAAGGAGGTGAGGGGGGGAGGAGCTGGAGAAGGAGGTGAGGGGGGGAGGAGCACATTTTTCTCAAAATCTGATTTATTTTCTAAATATTTGACTTTTTTCACAAAATCTCAAAATGGAGGGAGGTGGTGGAGAAGGAGGTGAGGAGCTAATGGGTGGTAGAGAGGGGGGAGAGGGAGAAAGGGGTAGAGAGAGGGAGGGAGAGAAAGGGGGGAGAGAGAGGGAGGGAGAGAAAGGGGGGAGAGAAAGGGGGGAGAGAGGAGGGGGGAATTGATGAGGCGTTTATGGTCTGCGGTGAGTTTCCATGCAGCAGATTTACAGGGAGGAAAAAGTCTCCTGCTGGAAACTGAGGTCAGAGGTCAGGAGGAGCTCTGCAGGAAACTTCCACATAGTTTCCAGAGTGCTGCAGTTTCTCTGTGAAAACATCTCATTACGGTGTGATGTGTTAGCAGC